CCAGGCCCCGCATGTACTGCCTGTTCGTGTGCAGGGCTATTTCCTTCATGCCACCTGGGGGAAAGGCAGCGATGAGAAATTCTTCACCGACATGGGCGCCTGCTCCTACCTGTCAGACTGCTTGCCCACCAATACCATTAGCCTTCCTAGTGCACCTCAGAGGTGAATTTTAATTTACAGGTTGCTCTGTGGTTTTTTAAATACAGCTTTTAAGCACTTGAAAGTACAGAGGGGATAAGCAGGAGATAGTAAACTAGGATGCTAATTATTTATTGCAGAAATTGTAGCACCAATAAGAGCTGAATAAGGTTGTGCCCAGATTCCCACTAAGGTGCAGGGTTTGCAGCTGCCGCTTGCTGTTTCTCTATGCACCTGCTGGGGTACCACAGTGCACACCACGGTGCTGGTCCCTTCTCATACCAGTCCCCCCATCCCACCCAGAGAGGCCTCCCCACAAAAACCAGGCTGTGGAGGACCAGAGGCTGCCATGTGAAGCCTTCACCTTGAGATGGACGGAGCTGGAATGCCCTGCCTTGCAGCTGACCCTGCAAACACAATAATGCATCTGGGTCCTGAATGTGAACAGTGAGCACTCACCTACATAGAGATCTCCATTGATGTTTAACTGCCTCATCTTCCCAGGGGATTTACCAGTCCTGGCACCGTAATCGTCCACGGTTACTTTGCCAGACTGTCCATCCCTGAAACGAAAAACAAACTGCTCTCATGCATCCAGCCTACAACCAGGTGGGAGGAGGAGCAGCAGCATCTCGCCCTCGCCAGGAGACCAGGGTGACTCAGTGCTTGGCAGGGTTCACGGTGAAGGCTTGGGACTGATGTTGGGGAGCCCCCCAGGCCGCGGTGTGCTACGGCAACCCAGACCCTCCAGGGTGGTTTTTTTTCCAGGGACTAAGAATGTCAGAGACCTGCAAAGGGTGTGGGACACATTTGCAGAGCAGAAAAAAGTGGGAAAGTATGTTGCACAGCTGGGGGAGAGGGGAGGATGGACAGGTTCTGACATGTTGTTAAAAATCAGATGCAATATAAAAAGTAAACAGCAGAAGCTTCAATAGAAGGGAAGAAATAGGCAAGCTAAAGTAAAACATAATTATAAGCAGTTGCGTTTCTTACTAGAGCCTTTAGGCCACTTCCGTTTTATATATAGTCAATAACTGCATTGGCAGAAGAGCTACTTGGTGGGCTCCTATTCTCACTGAATTTGGTAACAAGTTGTGCTAATGTCAGCCCGTGATTTCCAGGGAACCAACACCTCATGAAGAGAGGGATGTGTGCTTTCCCTA